TTTTAGTAAATACATTTCTGTCACTTGTGGATAAACAATTGATTTTTCCCAATTTTTATCGACAAACTTGAGATTCTTTAGCCATTTCTTTATTCAACCAAGAGTTGTGTATTTGTGCATTGGCTGATAATTTAAGCTTTTGACTTATTGTTATTAAAAAAAACACCCAATTGGCTTGTAGGTAAACCTATATCTTTACAATTATTCACGAAGTGTGTCATTGTAGCTTTCAGTTTGTAGGAAAGGTGGGGTGAAAAGGACTCGTGGATCAAACTCACTGGAGGTAAAACTGTCTGGATGAGAACAACTTTTGGGAAAGCAACGGAAACATAGGCTCATTGTGGGAAAAATCTTCTTCTACATCTCATATTACAGATTTACTGATAGTCTCGAAACAATACTTAAATGCGAAAAGTAAAACTGTCTGTCAGGACTCCGAAGAAGCTTTCACGCTCCCAAGTTTACAGTGAATTTTTCATTCGAATGGAAAGGTCAAATGACATATAAACACTTTTAAGCCCAAATTTTTCTCACTTATATCTAAATATAGTTGCTTTAATGTTTGATCTTTATGCAGGAGTAAAGTGCTAAATTTCCAGCTTTTTATGCATACATTTTCTTCCAGAAATACTCACTAACAGCATGCATACTACCCGTCCCGATGTTGGGTGATTACTAAAATCTGTTCATTTCGGTACTAAATTACGCCCTTAGATAGCCCATCTCTTTTTGCTTTGGAGATGCTCGTTTTCTAACTCGTACGTTATGGACTTTGTGAGTAGAAGTATCTCACTCAGGTCGCTTCGTCTCGGTTTTTCTGTCCTGATTAGTTGACAGAGATCAATTGAGCGATGCGTATGGTAGAGCCGTTCTACTGAAATGTGTCCAGTAAAAGATGAGACATTTGAAGGAGAGATGCTGAGGCTAGATTAATTTGGCGTTGGTGAGGCCCATTTCGGTGGGATAACAAGTGAATGCTGTCCAGAACCAAGCAGGCAGGCCAAATGATGGTACATTTGTATCTGCTGATCATCTACAGTTTCGGGCAGCCGGATGACTGAGACGAGTGGAATGATTAGATGCAAATCTTGCTGTTGTACCACTCTAATATTGACCTCTGCTAGCCGATAGGAGATTGAATGTGAATTAAAATCATATTCATCCTCTGACCTTTCGACATTCATGGCGACTGTTGAGACGAAATCGAATCTGCCTTCCAGCCCAGACATGAAAACATTTTAGGTGGCAAGATCAAGTGAAATTTATGTTTACTCTATCATCAAACCTTCCATCTATTCGGGATC